CACTGTGTTTAATAAATGTTTTTGATGATGCTGTTTTATTGCCGATGGTTTCATTCCTGTAGTTCTATGAGTTCTATTATTATGGTAATTAACAATTTTTAATAAAATATCTCCACTTATACTCCGTTGAAACTAAATTCTTTCCACAGCAATGATTTTAAACTCCATATAACTTTGTCTCGCTATAAACACTGTCATGGTTAATACTGCATTTCTTATTTAGAGTTTTCATATATGAATTGAAGAGTTCAGTACCCATGTCTGTTTGAAGATTTTTGGTTTTTGCTTTCTAAACACTTGTTCCATGTTTTTCGACACTTCCAAACCGGATTTTGTGTTTAATGGAAATGTCCAAAAAATTTTTAAAAAACAATTTATCACCACTAAAGTATTTTTAAAACGTTTTATTATGTTTGTTTCGTTAGCCGAGCTATTACCAGTAACCAATAAAATCCGTGCGTCAATACGCTACTTCCTATAAACCTCGAAATTATCTTGGCCTTTAACACATATTTACACTTGTGCTGTGACAATAAGTCTTATTTTGGTGACGACATATTTTCAATAGCACAAGCAATAAGGTTATTGCAATTGAAAAGTGGAAATTAGAAAGGGCGCATGTGCCAAAAACATACATTATTTTCTGGTGGCAGCTTGATTGTTAGCCCGTCTAAGATCAGACGCCTTCGTGACGCTCATTGTAAAGCTATGGTTCCTTCCACGCGGCCGTCGCATGCGGCAGCCGCAACGCGACTATCGCGAGCGGCCGCCGTTCTATCGAGTGGTTTCTTAGCATCGCATCGCGTCGCGACTCAAGCTCGTGAACGATCAGTATAAAGAGAACTCTCTTTGGTGAAAGTCGTGATGGATAATCTCATAATGTACTTATTACTAGAAGAAGAGGAGGATGAAGAAATATTATTACAATTAGCCAATCTAAAAAATAGCAATGCTCCTGTAAATTCAATATTTAAAAAAAGACGCGATGAGGGATGTTACACTACACTGATAAATCGGCATCTGCTGCAGGATGATGTAAAATTTAGAGAATATTTTAGGTTCAATAAAGCACAGTTTAATTTTCTTCTCGACTTAATAAAAGACGATATAAAAACCGAGCCATACAACAGAGTTCAATATCCCATAACCCCAGAGGAACAACTAGCCATTATATTAAGGTAAGTAATTAAGTCAGTATGTTTAAATAAAATGCCTAACGTGTCAATTAAATATTTATTATTATTAAACTAAAAGAAAAAACTAAATAAGAACAAAATAAACACAAGTTTCAAAAAAGTAATGAGTAATGGATTCAACAAATTTAAAAATTGGAGTTATTTGATTGAAAGTTATCTAGATCTAATAAGTAATTGTCTGATGACGGAGAATTGTAAATCGTAGGTATATTGCCTGAATTTGGAGCAGAGGGGGTTGCTGGGCCTGGTGAAAGTTCAAAAGCATTTGGTTGCGGAATCGATGCATTTCTCTCTTCTAATTCGAATATCAGGTGCATTGTTCGTAATTTTGCTTCATTGATTAACTCGGGTCTTAATGCTTTTACTGAGGCTGCAATGCTCTGGAAAAACAAGTCCAGAGAATCTGGTTTGTTTAGACCAATTTTTTTAAAGATTTCATTTCTTTCAGCACTTCTTTCTCTTATTGTAGCTATTATGTCTTCATTTATCTTCTCTTTTCTGTTGCTACTTGATTTGGAAAATTGTTTTTTATTGCACCCGCTCCCTTGTTTAGCGTCGGGTTAATGTCTGCTGTCAGGACAGAGGTAGAACTACCTGAACGAGATGATTCTTGAGACACTTCCCCCGACTCAATATTATTTTCAGTGTCTTCCTCACTCATAAAGTCCTCTTCGTGTTGATCAGTTCCGAGAGATGTACTTCTACCAAGAAAAAAAAATTGAAATCGTATATTATATTTACAGTACTTTTTGAAAAAGAACTTACGGGCGTTTGTGCTCTGTTTGGTCCAGGAAGGACAACATATCTGATAAAGCCCATTTCGCATGTTTGGGCAATGCAGAAGAACCTGTGGTTTTCCCCCTTTTTTTTCTTCTATTGTAGGTATCCTTAATATTTTTCCAACGTTTTTTGCAGTCGTCAACTGAAATTGTAAAATAATATTATATATAATAAAATAATATAACTAAAATTTTGTTATCGATTTTTTATTTTTCATAATAATTATCATCAAATATTTTTTTTAGGTTTTTGGCAACCGGTGAGTCATTACGTTCCTTAGCTTTCACGTTTAGAGTCTCCCATAGTTATATTAGCAGAATCATAAAAAAGACATTATTATCATTAAGAAGACACCTTATTTCATTATGCATACCGCCGTTATCATTGGATGAAAAAAAGCAAAAAGCTAAGGAATTTGGCCAAAAATGGAATTTTCCTAATTGCCTAGGAGCTGTCGACGGTAAGCACATACGAATTCGATGTCCTTCACACAGTGGATCTTTATTTCATAATTATAAGGACTTTTTTTCCATTGTGTTGCTTGCTGTTGTCGACGCCAATTATAAATTTATTTTTATTGATGTTGGTTCATATGGAAAAGAAGGAGACAGTGGGATTTTCGATAAATCAAAAATTGGCCAACAAGTCAGGGATGGTTCCATTTTTCCACCTCCAAACAAGCTACCAAACACTAATCAGGTTCTTCCATACGTGTTGGTAGGCGATGAAGCGTTCAGATTAAGTACACATATGATGAAACCGTTCCCCCGACCAGTAGCCAGCGCTGACGATCGCAAAGCAATTTTTAATTACCGGCTTTCTAGGGCTCGACGTGTCTCGGAAAATGCCTTTGGATTGCTAAGCCAAATTTTTCGAATTTTTTATACAATGATTGATTTGAATCCATCAACAGTTGACGATTTAATTATAGTGGCATGTTGTTTACATAACCTCCTTCGAGATGCATTCCTTGAAGCTTCCAATAAACCCTTTTATGAAATTGACCAGGAGCTGCCACCACCCAGAAATTTCATTGCATTTGCTAGGGGTGGTGGTTTTGCAGATGGAGATGGATTTTATATAAGAGACCTGTTTAAGGAATATTTTAACAGTGGTCAGGGTAGCGTACCATGGCAAATTGGATCTGTCAGAAGAACAGATACAAACTAATGTTGTTTTACCTAATAATACAATAAATACATTTTTGAATTTTAGACTTAACATTATTTACCTAATTATTTATCTAATATCTTACCTGATCTGCTTAATGCCTCAGCTATTTCTTTCCAGGCGTTTTCTTTGACAACCTGATCCTTATATAAACTATGGGCCAAATCGAATAATGCGGGATGTTTTGCCACTAATTCAACTAATAGTTCATCTTCAGTCACCGTAAATAGCACTTTCGACATGTTTGGGTACTTTTCTAATTCAAAAAATGCCAATCGAATATACTAAATAAAAAATCAAACCAAAAATTGCACACAAAACAACAACAAACGCTCTCGCGGCTGCGGCTATACTGCTTCTCGAGCAGTACAGTCGCGTCGATCGTAGTCGTTCGCGGCTGACCCGCACGACGGCCGCTCGGAAGGAACCGGGTACGTTTAAAAGCATACGTAGGAGAGCGTTGCGGCTAACGCAGTGCGACAGCCGCGTGGAAGGAACCATACCTTTAGCCTGGTCAATGATTATCACCGAAGCTTTACTGATGTTCAATTTGGTTGTGTTATACCCATCCGCAGCTCATTTCATATCCCAAAAGCCCGATGCTACCATGTCAATAATATCGAAAGGAGGAGAATATCTTGCTGATTAGTGGCAAAATGACCATTGGCGACTAAAAATATCAGTGTAAATAATAAAATTCTATTTTTGTTCTGGCCTCCGCAATTATCGCACCACATTACCAGATTCTTCTTAAAAATCAGTCCCTGATGAGACAAGATGCAATTTCGTTTAGCTCCTCGAGATGCTACTCCCTCATGCCACATACACATATAGTATAATCTACATGGACGCCTAAATTGTTACACGATAACGGCTAGAGGTAGAACATATCACTATGTGTCGGTCAAGAAACAAACATTTACAAGTCATTTTGCCCTTAATTGTTACAACAAATATTACAGATCATGCAACGGTAATATTACAAATAATAACTTGTAATAAATTAAAAAATAATCCCAACAATAAATTTATTAAATATCTAAATTATACTAAAATTAATAAAATATTACAGATGACTACTTGGGAGGCAATATACTCTGAAACAGATCCAAATGATGCAACTAATATCCTTAATAATACTATTCATGAAATTACCCAATTATGTACAGATACAAAAAAAGTTTTAAGAACAAATACCAAAATAGCACTATGGATGACGAACTCCTTATTAAAAATAATTAAATTTAATAAATAAAACTAAACAAAATTATTACAAACAACGAATACAATTAGACAATCAAAATACGAAACGGTTATGGAACATTGTACGAGAAATTACAGGCACTAACACTAAAACAAAAACTGTTGGCCCTATAAAGAACGATAACGGAGAACTCCTCATAAAAACTGTTGACATGGCTAATGAATTCAACACAAAATTTATTAATATGGGTTATAACCTTGCAAAAGACATTAAAAAAATTCAAAATGTATTCCTAGTATCACGGGTTTACCGAACTCTATTGTTTTAACACATACTGATGAAAAAGAAATATTATTTCTTATTAAAGAACTCAAAAATAACAAATCCGTCGGAACTGACTTCTTCTTTTTGAGATATGGAGAAAATTCATCTTCAAGAAATTTAACGTCTCTTTGGTTCCAACCTCTTTTTCTTTCGTTCATAACATTGCCAATCTCTTTATCTAAAACAAAATTCAATTTTTATCTATCGTGATGCCAAAATAACAAAAATGTTAGCTTTTAATAAAACTCTATTGCTTTTATACAATACAGAACAGTAAGTCATTGTCTATGTCCATTTAACTATTAAAACAGTGAATTTTATCAAAATTACTTATCATCGACATTATTGTCGCTAGCTTCGTTTTCGACAACTTCTTTTGGGTAACCGCAATTATCATTTGCATCTGAAAAACATTGAACGTTGTTACAATCTCGCATAAACACTAGGGAGCAACACAAGTGTTTCATATAAACGGTATTAGAAAAGTACCGGAAAGATCGAACTACTCTGTTAAGAAAAAAATATTTTTTTTTAAATTCAGGCCGTTCTTTCGGTTTTACAAAGCCATTATCACAGTCATTGCCAGGCGGATAACTCCATAAAAACAGTGAAGAAAACAATAATTTAAAAAATTTCAAACAAGAATATTTTTAACGTGTTTTTTATGTTAACTAATAATATGGATAAAATAAACCATGTAACTATAGTCAGAGTTATTGATTCTTAATAAATTTATCGACAATCGCCAGCAACGTAACGTGTCTATGTTTAATATTGTTTATTCCATCCATATTGTTAGTTAACATCAAACAACGGTTATAATGTTTATTTTAACGTTTTAAGTTTTAAGAATGTATATTTCATTTAATTTCTTTCTAGAGGTAGGTATTTACTTAACAAAGGATATGACTGATGGCATTGAAAAGTCGAATGATGTCTCCTGAATTTAAAAAATTGTACATTTTACCCCGTACTAATTTTAATATATAAAAAACTACTGGTAATGAATGTAGATTCAAGACAACTTTGAAAACAAACCAGAAGCGAAAAATGGTATTTTTTTATTTTTAACTATATATAAATATATTATCCCAAATTTAAATAAAAATACTTAAAAAAAAAATTAAGTTTTTCGACCGTTTCAGCACTTTTTACTCACCCTGTGTGTGTACACATTCAATATGTGCTTGTAGTTCCATATGTGATGAAGTAGCGACCTCATCTTCGAAATCTTCGTTTTCTTCTGCACATTCGACATTAATATCTAAATTTATTTCTGTTAAAGATTTTCCCTGATATTCAACTGGAATTGTTCCTTTTTCCATCATTAGAAGAAGTTTCGATACTTTAGCTGTTTGATATACATCTACAGGCAGTCTGAAATTTTAAATCAAATGTAATGGAGACATTAAACTTTAAGTTTAAAACTTACTCATAAAATTCCTCATGAGTTTTTTCTGTGTGTCCCATGAACTTAGAAAATTGTTTTGTTTCTTCTTTAGTTAAACTTAGAATTTGAGTGACTGTTGCTATTTGCTTTCTAAGCTTATTGCTAGTAATACTTTCAGGATTTTCCACCTTTTCCCCATTTAACTTTACTTCCAGGAGTAGCAAAAAGGTAATCGTTCGTGGACTCAATGTATTTTTCTCTGTATTGTAGTAATATTTCAATATTTTTCTGTAACATTTCTGGTACTAAAATAATTACAGCTCTAGAACCTTTTCCGCTGTTTGTGACACGTTTGTACTTCTTGGTCAAAATTTTCTCAGTTTCCGTTAATGCATTTTCAAAATCTTGAAAGTTACTTGGTAAATCTTTTTCATAATCAACAATTTTTAAAAATTGAACATCACCAATACGTCTTCTATAATACATTGTACAAACATTATGTAGGTACTCTCATTGTCTTTTCCATCGCTAAATTCACTCATGCATCCGTCAACAATTTTTAATACTTCGTCGCGGAATTTCTTTATATCGCTTACAAGTGGTACAATTAATGGTTTATTCCACCTTTTTTCTAATAAATCTTTGTTTGCAAGTGAAGACAATTCAATATTCCAACGAGCTTCCACTAGTTTTTTGAAATGTTTAACATCCTGTAACCACGTTTTTTTTCATTTCTGCGCTACATCGAAATCCTCTGCTTTCTTTTATAATTAAATGTACCAATTCATCACATGATATTTTTAACGAAGAACCGAGGTGCATGGCTAAACTGGGAGCTTTAAAAGTTTTTTTTCTGGATTATATCCAACAACTTGCCTTGTTGCAAAAATCACATTATCAAAATTTTTTGGTAAAAGTAAATCTTTGAACGAAACAGTTTTGTTTTTACTATTTGTCGGTATGTAATTAACAGTCGAGATAGTTCTCTCATTCTGTTACTGCATGCATAAGAAATGCTTTCTCTTTTATGTTTCTTCAGGTACGAATCTCCAAAGTGGGCAATAAGCAAATCTTTCTTCGCTTCAAACGCAATTTCATCTCCTTTCATTAAATCAAATACCTAAAGCATAATAAAAAAAAAAAATATTAAAAAAATATAACTTTCTTAAAATTTCAACAATATACTTACTTGTTCTTTAACAGCCAGCTTAGATATAACGTTCGTTTTATCAAGAGAACAAGCCGTAAGTGTTTGTGATTTCGATAAACAATTATTTTCATTTTTTTCAAATTGGTTTATGCATGATTTTGCATGTCTCTTTAAATAATCCTTTACACGAGGAACAAGGATAGTAAACTGTTTCACACTTTGGATTCAAAATTTCTATATGCGGACGCGTAATACCATTAATATATAAGTCAAAATTAGTATCGTGTCTCAGTAAAAACATTTTTTGTCGTCTTTCTTTGCTATTCCGTGGCATTTTTAAAATATCTAGAACTTCTTTTTCTTCGCCATGATGTCTTTCAATGTGCCTCAATAAATTTGTGGAAATTATATCTTCCTCACAAAATTTACACATAGCAATTTTTTTTTACCATTTTTTTTGTCATTTAGTAGTTCACTTTTAGGCGACGGCTTATTCTTATAGTTATTGTCGTATTCATTCTTGTTATTTAGTGGTTCTAAATTTTCTAAAAAATCTAAGGATTCTGTGTCACTACTTGAGCTTGAACTGTCATAATCTTCGACACAAAACGTTTTGTCTTTAACAGAATCATCAGCTTCTGATTCCGAAGTGGGTTCATCTTGAAAGTCATGGATCTAAAATAATATTATGTAGTTCGGTGCTAAAGTTCTGTTTTCTTATGTGTTTTATCCACTTTTGAAAAATGTACTACTTAGGTATATATAAAAAAATTAATAAGTTGTAAAAAATTCAAATTGTAGCTATATTAACTTAACACCGTATTCTAACTACAGAAATAATGCTATAGTGCATCGCTGTGATGTCATATCGTCGTTCAGATATCAAAACCTTGTATCTCAAAATTAGCAAATTTTGGGAAATCACTTAAAACTTCCTATACTAGAAAATACAACTTTTAAAGTTCGTTTTTTTAGTGAAATGTGGGTATTTTCACGAACTGAATTATTTGTGACAATGATTAAATTTAACGAAAATGAGGTTTGATTAAAAAAAAAAAAACTTGAGATACGAGTTTTTGCAATTTAAATGGTATTTTGTTTCAGGACTTACGAGGTTTGTTAGCGTGTTATCATCTCCCCTTACGCTTTTTGTTTTTCGAGTTTTTCACACTCAACAACCAACATGGTAAGAGAAAAATAAAACGTTTATTCTTACAACAAATGAAACAAATATTAGTATTCTTACATGAAATAAATTAAACATAAATATTTTCCATATTATGGAAACAAAAAAAAATTAGTGCTTCAACGAGTCATAAAACCTATGATAGTCTGTGTGAATAACGGTCTTAAGGGTCTGCAGGTGATTAAATTTGTCTTCTGTGATGGGCAAATGGTCATTATACATTTTTTTTGCGTTTCCTGTATTGCTATTATTTTTGCGAACTGGTAAAAACTGCCACTCTTCGTCAAAATTTAGTTTGTATTGGATAGCCAAATCTTTGGAATAGCTTAGAGCCCTCAGATTATTCACGCATGCATCTCCCACTTTTTTTCCTGGACGAATGGATGAATAATAATTAATTTCGGAATAGTCATTAAAAAATCGATGATCAATGTATTTAACTTTGCATGGATTTTTGGAATTTTTACGGGCCTCTTTAATTATTTCCACATAATTTGAAGGTGAGTAAATGCATTTATTTTTTTTCTTTCTTTCAATGGTGGAGTGCACACTATCGCACTCCATTTGCGAGTGACCCTTAACTAAATATTTCTGTATAATTACCGTATCATTTTCGATGCAGAAATGTTGAAGTGCATTAGCCAATGTCACGTTGCGATTTTGCGCAGAGCATCCATCGCTATAAAAAATTTTTGGTTTGTCCTTTTCTTGGACATCTACCTCTTCATTTAAAAAATCAATTATACAAGATACAAAGGAGTTGGCATCCATTTTTCCCTCTCCCTCATGCCATACATAACAAACTACTTTATCATTTGCTAAATTATAGATGGTGAAGTTATGGCATGCTAGTTTCTGCTTAAAATATACCATGCCTGCTGGGACGACAGGGACAAGTTGGACAGCTTGTACATCCATTGTAAATACGCACACTTTTCCTTTTAACGCATCTTCTTTATCTTTAATTTGTTCCTTTCTAGCGCGATCTTTTTGGCTAATGTGTGATTCATAATCCCCTTGCTCTACATTGCCCAGTTTATGCGAAAAACATAAATCACACTGATCCTTCCTTGGATGATACACATCAATATTTGTATTTTTCATTTCCTTCAAGAAAACATCATATGCGACAGCAGATTGTGGCTCATCTTTTTTGTAAACGTCATACACTTCCTTATATGATTGAAAAATTGTTTCCAAATAAAGTTTACTTGTTGTTAAACGGCAATAATGAGAGGGCATCTTTGGCAGTTTTTCAAGGAACGCTTTAACCTTATTTCTGCGTTCAATATTGACAGGTTTAATCTTGGTAGGAAATGTAGTAGTTACTTTTGGGATACCCGAGTCACAACTATTTTTCACCCAGTTTTGAACAATCCATTCACCTAATCCTAACGTGGATAAAATAAACTTAAATTACGCCGTGATTTCCCTTGTGTTCTTTTCTGCGTTGTTGGATGTTTATTAACTAGCGTACTCACAAATAACTTTCGTTGATGCCAATCCATCTCAGACCAAAACCCATCAAAAATTTTCCTTCGTTGCTCATCAGTTATCATTGAACACTTCCTTTTTTCTTTTGCTGCTAGACATTTTGCTGAAGTACAACTTGATTTCATTTCGCGGGAGTTTTTCTTTATAGTAACTATAGAAGATCCATCTTGCTCCTTCTTTTTTGCTCTGTATTCTTTACCGCGCATTCTTAAATATTTTTGTTCATTTCTTTCCCAAGTAGAAGGACCTGCTTTGCCTTTTTTGCGACGCCATTTTTTCTCATCTTTTTCTTCTCGAACAGCGTTCACTTCTTTAGGTGTCGCTTTAATTTTTTTCCATCTTCTGAATCTGACGAAGTATTTGGGTGATAACTTGACTCTGATCCATCAAAAGGTTCTTCAAATTCAATGTGGCTGTTAAACTGTCGATTTTTTTCTTTAATTTCACTGAGACCTTCGGATTTCAAAGTTAGATCATATCTGACGTTCTCCACCTGAGTACTTTCCTTCACATCGACATTAATCCCATTGTCTTCTACATTCATACTAGCCAGGTATCTATTTTGGGTGTTATTTTTTAAATGAGACCCTTTGTGAATATTAGTACTTTTTGGGTTTAAAATAATACTTGAATGTACTTGAATATTTTGTGAATAGCCTGATGAAGCAGCAATTTGCTGGAAAATTAAGTTTTCTTCTTGAGAAGTCACATGAACTTGTTGAAAGCTTGTATTATCTAATTTTATTTTTTTATTGAAATCTTTAAGGTTCTCTTCATTGGAGCTGGTATGTTTTTGCTTTTCAATTACCTCTACACTTTCAGACGCACAAGCATTTTTCCGATCTTCTTTACTATCATGGCTCTCGAACTCTTCGACTCCCTCTGGAGAATGTGAATCTGAATGGGTGATACTAGCATTTCGCTCATTAGCAATGTCAGATGAAAGTAGCCGAATATTCGGTGAAACTCTGGAATTATTTTTGGGATTGTCAATATCTTGATTCGGTTTTAGACTTTCTAGTGCTGATTTAACAATTCTTGCCTAAAAATAAACCTATAATTTTACAAAGAAACCTCGTAACTCACTATTGTGAGTAGTTGTTTAAATTTAGGTAGATAACAAAACCTCGTATCACAATTATTTTCGCTAAAAAAATTACTGAAAAACATTATTTTGAAAATTCTTGTACTAACTGTCAAGTTTCTGTTTTTCTTTAATTGATTTATATAATTTGTTTTATTTGATCAACTGAAATAGATTAATTATATCATCATAACCTCAATTTTTTTGAAATATTAGTTATGTTTCTGTTTAACGTAAAACAATACAACTACGTATTATTAAAACAAAGTAATAATAAATGTTTTTACTTACCATAGCTTCTAATAAACAGTTTTAAACCCCCAACTTGCACAAAAAGTTCAATATTCATAAATTTCGCAGACACGTGTTGACATACGAGGTTTTATTTACAGCATGTGAGATACGAGGTTTCTGAATTCAAGTGGCGCAGGTGCAATTTCACACGCATTGAGATCAGAGGTTTTGTGATCGACGCGGCTCGAATTCCTAATGTAGGCAACACAAAACCATCAAAAATTGAGATACGAGGTTTTGACATCTGAGCGACGATATAGTAAACGTAAAGATGCGCGATAGCATACTGTTTTACCGCAGAAATAATGGATATGTATGTATCATCTGCTAGTTCATTTTTGAAAATGGTACAGGGTTATTCATTATAAGTTACCCACCCTTTATGATCGTTAGTTTAATATACACTAAAAATTGTTTTAATAGTTGTGTGGCTACGACTAGATTTTATTAAAATCTCATAGAAACTACAGATATCAAGGGGATACAACAAAAAATATTTTTTAAATGTTTAATTTTAGAATAATTTTTTTCTGATTTTTAAAATCTACTATACGCTCTTCAAATTATTTTGCTGAGTTTATTAATCAAGTGAAATAATGTTAACTTTTCCATACTTATAATAATTAGCTTAACTAAAATATTCTTCGTTTAATTACAAAAACAATTATATAAGATGCGGAGAACATATAGTATAGTTTGAGAAAAAGATATAGTGTGACTTTAAACCTTTGAAGCCAGCCGACAACATACAAAAAAAAACTAAGGAAACTGATACCCCTGATACATCGCAATAAAAAATAGTAGAGGAGCATTCAAGAGATTGAGTATACTTATTTTATTTGTACTTTCCTCGATAAAAGGGAAGTTTTGTAATCGTGAAAAAGTCACCCTACGAGAATATTTTAGATTTTCACGTGTTCGGATCCCTAGAATACGAAAAACATGTTTTCCCCATTCAGTAGGTCTATGTGCCGTCCGGCGTCTGTTGTTTGCCGTCTGTCTGTTGGCGCGATAGCTCAAAAATGGCTTAGGAAAAAAACTTTTTGTATGCCGATATATACAGGGTGAGCAGTTAAAAAAACATCTATTTTAAAAGTCAGTAGATTTCGACTAAAATTGGTATCTGATCTAAGATAACAGACATAAATTACTTTTCAAAAATTCAAAATGGCTTCCCTGTTTTTACAATTTATACAGGGTATTTTTGAATAATATGCTCATATTATAGGGTGTGATTCCTCAGGTTATTTTATGAAGAAAAGTTCATATGAACATTTGTTTTTTAAAATCTCTGAAAATAGTTTAGATATAATTTTTAATTTTAGCATGTGAATAGGATATGACGATATTTTTTTTGTTTGTACAAAACGGAAAATAATACCAATAAAAAATCAATATGTTCAAATCCAATGCTTTTATTTTTTTTTGGGTTCTAAATACAATCCGCAACATGAAAATAAACTGAAATTCACAACTTTATTTTACTAAAAAAATTCAAGTAGCCATAATCAAGAAGAACTACAAATAATTTGTCCGGTCCGCACCTACATGTTGGTTAATTAAGTGACATTTTAATAGAGGTGTTTGTTTCAGATCTTTTTAAGGGATATGATTTTGTTATTAAAAATAACTCAGAAACAAAATTGTTTACTGAAAGGTATATATTTACTAAATTAAGAAACTTTTTACGAGGAAAAATGGAACAAATATTTTTATACTTAGTTTGTTAAATTAAAGAATAACCTAAAAATAAAAAACTGTTCCATAGCAGATGAAACTAGGTCATATTTATTAAGTAACGTCTATTTTTTTTTTAATTGCACAGGATTTCTATTGCAACACGCTATACAAAAATGGATGCGGACTTGACTTTCTTTGTGCGGACTGGACAAATTGAGCTACATTAAGCAAACAATTAAATAAAATTAATTTAAACGGACATTAAACATTTATATTTTTAATATTACAATATTAATCGTCTTCGGACTTATTTAAAAGGTCATCGATTATAGCTTCCTCGGGTATAGAAAATAAATCGGTTCTTGTTTTTGAAACGCTTTTAGGTGGACGAGTTAAAATATACAGGATATCTTTAAAATCTACATTTTGAATGTCCGGTCGCGTAGGCCATTTATAACTTTTTCCTTGACGTTGTAAATATTTCACTTCGAGGATATTTTCATTAATAGCTGAAACCATCCCTAAAACCCAAGAAAATGTTTGATATCGTCTTTAAAGATCACCAAAAATCCTACCTGGATACCAAGAGTCTCCGTAAACAACCGCAACCCATGTTCCGACTACTGGAATACTTGGATTTTCCACCTCATTTGGAATGGTTCTATCGATTTCTAAATACATATTTTTGCTAAGGAAATACCTAATGCGCTTTCGAAAATAAATTGTATTTATAAAAATAAAAAAAGGATACGGCTTGATGATGTAGGTGTTGCATTAGTTCCACTGTCAACATGTCCGGGCTTCGGTTGTTTGTCAATAAAAAAATGGCTACATTCTTCATCAAAAGGACAAATGTAACAGCTTAATGATCTTGTGTAAATCGACACTTTGTTAGTGACTTTTCCCCATGTAATTTGGTGAGCTTGTGTTATTTTTTTTATTGGTGAAAACTTATTCTGCAGGGAGTTTTCTTTCTCAGTTTGAATGTTTTCACTAGATACTTCAAATAGATATGTTTTTTTGCATTCAGGTCTTACTAAATTAATAAAATCTCCTGCGCATGTTATGTCGTTTCCTCTCAATACTGTTCTATCTGCCAAGCGTTTTATTGTTCCCCCAATGCCGTCCATCGGACCTTTACCATGCCCAGAAGCGCTGTAATTCCAAGAAACGTCTGCGTTTGGAAATTGTTTTTGCAAATTATTAGCCGCCAGATAAATATTGAACTTATTTTTATACTGTGATGTCGGGCCGTCCGAAAACATGTAAATTTTTTTAATGGATGTACTTTTAATATTTTCTGCCAAAATAGAAAGAACAGGCTTCATATGACACCAAATTGCAGGAGCTTGGTGATCAATGTTATCTGATAAGGTAGCAAAAGAAATTGTCTTATTTTCGTCAAAATGATTTTTAAAATAGGCTACTCCGGTGTGTATCGATATTTGTCTTTTACTTGCACCGAAGTGCATACTTTGGATTTCTGTTTCTAGTTTTGCATAGTAATTTTCTGCAAAATCAATCTGGATCGCCATTTCTGAGGGAACTAAACCAGATTTAACTTTTTCCATAAATTCCATTTGATGATTCATTGTATCAGAATGAAGTTTAAAACTCGGCAGTTCCTTTAAAAATAGCTCCATCAATTCAAGTTTCGTTATTATTAGTGACTTTTTACTGGTTGTTCGTATTAACTTAGTAAGTACCCCCAATTTTCCTTTCTTGTTGTTGCGACTTCCATTGAAACAAATTTATAGTATCAGACTCATTTTCTTTGTGTAAAACTAGCTTATAATTACCTTTTGCAATCTCTTCTAAATTTTGATGATTTGTGACTTTTTCAAAAAATAACTTGGCTACAATATACTTAAAATTTTCATGCTTCACACAAGCACACGTTTCCCTATCTTTGGTTTTAGGTTGAACCACCCAAAATGGCTTATTATGATAAAAAGTTGTAAAACCAATGAGAATATTAGGAAATTCGAATTTAAATTTTTTAAAACATGAGGCTAGACTAAACAGAAGCAAACGTTTCTGTTTTTTTACTTTTTTTTTTGTTATAAAATTCGCCTTTCCTGGACACATTTTTGATATACGATCACTTTCAAAAAATAATCTGATCTTGTTTTTTGTTTCTTGGTGAATAGCATTTGATCTATTCTTTCGTTTGAGTTTAAGGTCTTTTGTACTTTTAATGAGGTTTCTGTTTTCTCTGTAGGGCAAAATCCTATTTATTTTGTTGTGTAGTTTATATTTTTTTAATATATTGCCACTTAATAATTGCCGAGCAATTTGTTTGTTTTTCTTATTAGAAGGTTCTATTTTAGTAAAATTTGTCACAATTTGCTCTTTTAAAGCCGCCCCAAAAACCAATTCTCTTTTTACGTCGCCAGGTATGATCCGCCCATTTAAAAAAGTAATAATTTTTGTATTGGGAGATTCTAGTGTAGAGGCCTGATTTTTCTCTGTACCATCCTGTGCGTTCTCTAGTGTACGATTTTGAGTAATAATATTATTGGGCAATTTTTTTTTCTCTTGTCTTTCTAATCGCTTTTTGTATTTAAGTTTCTCTCTTTTTAAATCTTCTATTTGTTTCTGCCTTTCAGCCAATGTATGTTTCATTCTTTCTATCTCTCTATACAAATCTCTAAGTTTGTTATGCTTGTGCTTTCGTGCATTAATTTTCTGATAAGACATTTTAATTTTTGGTGTATCATTAGTACTTTCCGAATCAGTCTTTTGAAATGCACATGGTGTAGAAAACGATGTACTTGGCGTACATAATGAATTACTTCGCGTAGAAACTGAAGTATTAAGTGTACTGAATGGTGGTTGTTTATGGTTT